ATATATATATATATATATATATATATATATATATATATATATATATATATATATATATTTCAAATTAAATAAATAATTAAACTCATATATATCATTATTGATTTTTAAATTTTTTATTTTTAACGATTTTTTGATTTTTTAATTAGATCATATTGGTTGTTTTATATATGGGTAGATATTTGTGATTCTCGAATAAATGTAGACTTGAGAATGTTTGCTTAATCCACCGCACCTAAATGGTGTGAAAGTTATCTTATTTCTAATCAAATAAATTACGAGGATATGGAAAAAGTAATAAACGGAAATAACAATAAATGGAAAGATACATACGTTAAAAAGGCAAATATCTAATAAAATATCAAATATGATATATATGGTAAACTATAATTTAGTATATACAGCAAGAATGAACTGAGACTATTTTTTAATGAGACTGGTTGTGAGGATATGGTTACTAAGAAATACTTAAAATAACCGATAGTTATTACTGATTATAACATGGAATATCTTTATTTTCGGTAGGAACTCGAAAATTAAGTGGGTTTAGTTTTTTTTATAAAAAAAACATGCTAAAATGACCCGTGTTAGATATAGAGAAATGTCGGGACTATCAAAAATCGAGTTTAAATTTCAATTTTGACCTGAATTCTTGGCAATGAGAATTACAGTCTTACTATAAAATTTAAATCGTAGAAATTAAAAATATATATATGAATTTTGACCTGAATTCTTGGCAATGAGAATTACAGTCTTACTATAAAATTTAAATCGTAGAAATTAAAAATATATACACATATATATACACATATATATACATACACACATATATATACACATATATACACATATATACATACACATATATATATATATGTATATAATTTTAGATTAAAAAAAAAATTATATATATATATATATAATTTTAGATTAAAAAAATAATTTGATTAATCATCCAAATGCCACATGGGCTACATGCATGGTGAAGAGGAAAAGTTTATGTCCTTAGAAAGGAATCAACAAGAATAATTCTCTTCACAAGGCAAACCGTTCATTCACAATCATATCATTCTATTACATTTAGCTGTCAAGTTAGCGGGAAATAGATAAGATTCTAAATAGTTGACGCGTTAATAGTTCACCATTTTCATCGAACAGCTGTTTCACCTTACTACATTTAATTGCTAAGTTAACTAGTGGGATATTCGTTCGAATCGAACCCGAATGAACTGAATTGGTACCAAATCCTAAGTAGCTGTCGAGTTAATGTGCTCCGCGACTATTTTCATCGAACAGTTGTTTCACCCTACTACATTTGGTTGTTAAGTTAATGGGTAGGATATCAAATCCTAAATAGTTGTCGAGCTAATAGTTCACGTGCACCTCGACTATTTTCATCGAACAACCGTTTTATTCTTATAGGATATTGATATTTTCAACCCGACCTCTCTAAATCTTTTCTTATTTACTTGAATTTCATATTTTTATATTTGGAATATATTTTTAATATGATACGTCAATTATTTTGTATATGAAAATATTAATAAAAATTGTATCATTTGTTTGAATTTTATTTTAATAACTTTAAAATTTACGATTTAGTCCCTAAAAATTTCATAATCAAATATATATATATTTTTTTTCATATTCAACATTTTTAAAATTAAAAATTTGGTTAAATATAATTTTAAAATGTCTGTTCGATGGGATATTCAATATTATTTATGATATATCTGACTCATTCGTAGTTTTATTAGACACAAAATTAAAATTTTAAAAATTTATATAAAATGTTTGGAAAATAAACTTATAATTTAATCTTTATTAAATAATATAAAAATTAGGTTTATTAAAAATATCTGAAAAAAAAAAACAAAGTTGCACAAATTCCTGTGTTTTTTACATTTTTGAACCCAAATTTCCTGGAAATTTGTTAGAACGTAAGAATTTATTTGTCCGAATCGATGCCGGTTGGAATCGGAACCGTCGTTACCGTGCCGGAGTTAGAGGGGCGGCAATCGGGAAGGTAAGAGAAAAAGAAATAAATGAATGGTCTTAGTTCCTCGCTCACTTCAATCTTCTCTCTATTAATAGCGATCAGAGCCTGCAATCTCTGCGCCACGCCATTCGATTCGGTCCATTTTGTCTTCTTCCCTCTTTCACCGCCATTTTTCTTCAATTTGTGGGTTCCTCTGGTTTCTTTTGTTCTTTGTTCAAATTTCTCGTTGTTGATTGTTGAAATTTCTCTGTGTTTTCGTTCAGATTTAGGGTTTGATTTCTGGGTAGTTCTTGATTTCTTGTTATCTTTATTAGGTATGTTGTTTTCGCCTCGATTCGTTTAAAATTTGCATGAACTCTGTTTCTCCTTTTCAATTTCCGTAGTGAAATTCACCATTTCTTGCGATGAATCTCCATTTTGGTGTAGAATGGGGAGCGCTGGAGAAACGAATTACGGTTCATACACATATCAAGAGCTTGAAAGAGAGCCATATTGGCCATCGGAGAATCTAAGAATCTCGATCACCGGCGCCGGTGGATTTATTGCCTCTCATATTGCTAGGCGTTTGAAGAATGAAGGCCATTACATTATTGCTTCTGATTGGAAAAGGAATGAACACATGACAGAAGATATGTTCTGCAATGAATTTCATCTTGTTGATCTTAGAGTGATGGATAATTGCTTGAAGGTCACAAAGAATGTTGACCATGTCTTTAACTTGGCTGCTGACATGGGTGGAATGGGCTTCATTCAATCCAATCACTCTGTTATTATGTATAATAACACCATGATTAGCTTCAACATGCTTGAAGCTGCAAGAATCAATGGTGTTAAGAGGTTAGTTGTCATGGATATCTCTCTCAATTCATGGTTTATATGCATTTTTGCTGGTATTGTGCTGGTATTGTCTCTACCCTTTAGAGGGTTATGGCCTTTAATTTGTGGAGCTGGGCGGGGCCAGGAGTAGCTAGAATTTTTAAGGGCACTGTCCCTACCAATAAGAAAGAAAGTACCCTAGAGATAACGGCCGGCCCACCGCTAGTAGATATTGTTCTCAACTTTCTCTTTTGGGCTTCCCCTCTTTTCAAAACGCACTCTATAAAGGGTGTTTCGTTCTCCTCCCCAATGGACGTGGGATCTCACAATCCACCCCCATTCTGACCAGTGTCCTAGTTGTCACTCGTTCCTTTCTCCAAATGATGTGGGACCCCTCCAAATCCACCTCATCGGGACCCAGCGTCCTTACTGGCACACGGTCTCTTGTCTACTCCCTTTGAGGAACAGCCTCCTCGCTGGCACATCGTCCGGTGTTTGGCTCTGATACCATTTGTAACGGTCCTCTAGCAGATATTGTTCTCTTTGGGCTTTCCTTTCCAGGCTTTCCCTCAAGGTTTTTAAAATGCATCTGCCAAGGATAGGTTTACACACTCTTATAAAGGGTGTTTCGTTCTTCTCCCCAAACTGTATGGGATCTCACATTTTCTCTCTGGTGAGTGTAGGTTTTTCTATGCATCTAGTGCTTGCATTTACCCTGAATTTAAGCAGTTGGAAACTAATGTGAGCTTGAAAGAGTCAGATGCTTGGCCTGCTGAGGTACATATTTGCTTCTATGTTAACGACTAAGAAACGAAACTACGGTTAGCTATGTGGTTATTAAAACCGTGTTAACGATTGTTTCGTAGCCTCAAGATGCTTATGGTTTGGAGAAGCTTGCGACGGAGGAGTTGTGCAAGCATTACAACAAGGATTTCAGTATCGAGTGTCGAATCGGGAGGTTTCATAACATTTATGGTCCGTTTGGAACGTGGAAAGGTCAACCCGAATGCCCGAAATAGTTGTTTTCAGATTGACGAATTGTATGAAATGTCTAATGCTATCGTTTTGTTCATGATAGGTGGAAGGGAAAAGGCTCCTGCTGCATTTTGTAGGAAGGCCCTCACTTCTGTAGATAAGTTTGAGATGTGGGGAGATGGTCTTCAGACAAGATCTTTCACCTTTATTGATGAATGTGTAGAAGGTGTTCTTCGGTAAGCAAGTTCGATTGCTGCAAATGTCGTCATCCGTGCTTCCATGTTTAAAATTTGTACTTTCTTGGATTTGACATAATCTTAAGTATAAGTGTGAGATCTCACATCGGTTGGAGAGGAGAACGAGAACGAAGCATTCCTTATAAGGGTGTGAAAACTTCTCCCAAAATTGTGAGGTTGATGGCGATACGTAACGGGCCAAAGCGTACAATATTTGCTAGCAGTGGACTATTTGGGTGGTTACAAATGGTATCAGAGCTAGACACTGAGCGGTGTGCTCGTGAGGACGTTGGACCTCCAAGGGGGGTGGGATTGTGAGATCCCACGTCGGTTTGAGAGGAGAACGAAATGTTGCTTATAAGGTGTGGAAACCTCTCCCTAACATACGCGTTTTAAAATTGTGAAGCTGACGACAATATGTAACGGGCCAAAACGGACAATATTTGCTAGTGGGGATTATTTCGGCGGTTACAAATGGTATCAGAGCTAGACTCCGCGGTGTGCTAGTGAGGACGCTAGACCTCCAAGGGGGTGGATTGTGAGATTCCACATCGGTTGGAGAGGAGAACGAAGCATTCCTTATAAGGGTGTGGAAACCTCTCCCTAACAGACGTGTTTTAAAACCGTGAGGCTGACGACAATACATAACGGGCTAAAGCGGACGATATCTTCTCTAGCGGTAGATTATTTGGGTGGTTACAAATGGTAGCATAGCTAGCCACTGAGCGGTGTGCCAGTGAGAACCTTGGACACTCGAGGGGGGTAGATTGTGAGATCCATAATTGGTTAGAGAGGAGAGCAAATAATTCCTTGTAAGGATGTGGAAACCTCTCTGTATTTTTAAACTGTGAGGCCGACGGCTATACATAACGGGCCAAAGCGGACAATATCTGCTAGCAATGGATTACTTGAGCCGTTACATTATTGATTTCGGCTCGAGATTTATTGATTAAGTTGTTGCTACAAGGAAAATAATTGGCGTATATTTTGAGACGAGTGCTTAACGATTGACATTTACGTTCAACGAAGGGGTGATACGACCGCTGCGCCTCTCTTTTGAGTAGTTTTCTTTCGAGATAATGTAACGGAATGCTATGGGTTGTTATTTCACTCTGGCTGCAAAGGCTACCATCATCTTTGTCCACCTTTTTCAGTTTATACAAACAACTAAATCTTGGCTCACTTCTGTTTGCAGATTGACTAAATCGGACTTCCGCGAGCCAGTGAACATTGGCAGCGATGAGATGGTCAGCATGAACGAAATGGCTGCAATCGTTCTTAGCTTCGACGACAAAAACCTTCCAATTCACCACATCCCTGGACCCGAGGGTGTTCGTGGTCGTAACTCAGACAACACACTCATTAAAGAGAAACTCGGATGGGCTCCCACAATGAAGTTGAAGGTAAAAAAGTTGTCATTTCGTTTAACCTCGACGATTAAAAGTTCTTCGAAACTTTCATCGCCTACGCTTTCCCGTGCTCATCAGTTGTTATGTATTGTGTTCTACCTGCGTAGGATGGTTTGAGAATTACCTACTTCTGGATCAAGGAACAGATTGAAAAAGAAAAGTCTGAAGGCATTGACCTCTCAGTTTATGGATCATCAAAGGTTGTTGGTACCCAAGCCCCGGTTCAACTCGGCTCACTCCGTTCTGCTGACGGTAAAGAGTAATTAGTTAAGACCCGGATAACCCGGTCGGGCTGCCTCGGTGCAATCGAAGCTTAATTAGATGTTACTACCAAAAGTTACTAGTATTTTGATGTTATTGGATACTTTTCTATGCTTACTATTCTATTCAATTTTGTTACAACACATCCTGTTTCCACAAGGAAATATGTGGTTCATTTAGCAGGTTCATGTTCTTGTCTTGTTTGTAATAAATTTTTCCAATTAATTTCTTGAGAAAGCCAGCTTATTTCATTGTTAATTTTGCACGATTTTGGCGTGCATCGTGTTTCCTGATCCTTTTCTTTTAGTGCTCGACTCGAAGCAATAGCTTTATGTATCACTTTTTTGCCTTCTCTTCCTTCTGGGTGGGAGGGCTAGTGGACACGGGGAGGGAGCTGGTGAAGCATGTCGTTCGTAGTGCAATGAAAGAGACTACTACTTCGCTTCTTTGTTGGACTGTGAGCACAAATATAGTGGTCTCCGACCAGGATCTAGAACCCATTTAAATTGGATCAAGAACCCAACTCTAAGCATCTTGTCAAGAAGTTGGTGGGCTCATCATGAATTAGGTCGGAGTGGCTAGTGGGTTTTGAAGTCCCGTTGAAAATGCTTCTTTTATGCCTCGGGTATTAGTCATAGCTCGTATTTATTTAGTCATTTTTCGCTTCTTTGTTAGACCGTGAGCGCAAATATAGTGGTCTTTGACCAGAATCAGGACCCCATTTGAATTTGGATCTTGATATGTCGGTGCTTTTTAACTGTAGGCATCTTGCCAAGAAGTTGGTGGGCTCATCATGAGTTAGGTCGGGGTGGTTGGTGGGTTTCGGGATTCCGTTGAAAATGCTTCTTTTATGCCTCGGGTATTAGCCATAGCTCGTATTTATTTAGTCATTTTACTCATTCTTCATTCTTAGACCTCGTTTGTGAATATTTATATGGTTTCAGCATTGCTGTAATGATAAATTTTAGATATGGTAAAAACATTTGGTTCAATCTCCATCGAACTCAAGTTGTAATATCGTTGCTTCCCGCGTAATCTCATTTTGACCTATTCGTGCGAAAACCCGCACAATTTAAAAAAAAATAAAAAAAAAAAAACTATCAGGAAAGAGACAATGTCTTGTGGTGTCCTTATAAAGGATCTACATTTCATTTGTCCCTTTTTTGAATTTTAAAAATATAAAAAAGAACAAAAATGGTCCTTTTTTTTTTGTGGTCCCATGGTTGTCATTTGCCCACGTTGTCTACAAATAAAAATTTATTATAATTAATAATTTTAATTTGTATTAAAAAAAATTATGATTTATTGACCACCGTCATCTTAGCCTTCCATCCCTTGTCGGGACCCGAGAGACTTTTAACAACAAAGAGTTCGTACAGTCATTCGAGTTTGTCTCAAAATATTCGTCATTAAACTTTAAAAAGAAGTTCAATAATACCCTTACCGTTAGTTTGAGACAGAAAACCGTTAATATTTTGTTTAAAAAATACTCTTGAACTTTAAAAAGTATTTAAAAAATAAGTAGTTTTCAAAAGTTCCATTAATAGCCGTGATGCCCCACCTTGGTTGGGGAGGAGAACAAAACACCTTTTGTAAGGGTGTGGAAACCTTCCCCTAGCAGACACGTTTTAAAGCGCAAGCCCGAAAGGGAAAACCCAAAGAGAACAATATTTGCTAGCGGTGGATTTGGGCCGTTACAAATGATATTAGAGCCAAGCACCGAACTATGCGCCAGCGAAGAGACTGTTCCCCAAAGGGGGTAGACACGAGCGGAGATGATCTTACATCGATTAGAGAAAGGAAAGAGTGTCAGCGACGCTGGGCCCCGAAGGGGGGTGGATCGTAATGTCTCATGTGTGGTTAGGGGTGTGGAAACCTTCCCCTAACAAACTTGATTTAAAGCCTTGAGTGGAAGCCCAAAGATCTGGGCCGGAAACCTTCCCTTAACAAACTCGATTTAAAGCCTTTTGGGCCGGAAACCTTCCCCTAACTGACTCGATTTAAAGCCTTGAGGGGGAAGCTCAAAGATCTGGGCCGAGCGGTTTTCATCCAAACTAACCGTAAGGATATTTTTTTAGATTTTTTGAAAGTTTATGAGTATTTTTGAGATAAAGTTCAAAATTTACCGATATTTTTATTAATTTAGTCTTATATTTATATATAAAATATGAGACAGGGCAGGGATTTAGGCGAGTGTGGGAGACAAGGATGAGGACGTTCTGGAACAGAGATTCTTTGAATGGAATAACGAACAACCGTAACGAATGTCGGCTCAATCGGAAAGAAATTATGCGGAAGCTCTACAACCTACAGAAAAGTGGGCTAATCCAACTAATCTTCACTCCCTCCCCGGATTGGACGTTATATAAAAAGCAACTAAAGCTTTCGAATAATCACCTCCAAATTGAATCATCATATCACGAAAAAGGAGACACCTTTGAACTTTCATCACAAGTTTCTTGCATACATTTATAAACGTAAAAGTTCTTAGAAATTCCTTTAGAATAAATAAAAGTTATACGAGCTCTAACCAAAGTTTTAAATATCGATCATTGGTAAAAACATTATAATTTAAATTTTATAAAAACGACCATGAAAATATCGATAAATATTTTTATAAAATTTCTTAATATTAATATTAAGTTCACATCGACGATATTTTTCTTATATTTAATAAATTTATATATTACGATGAAATAATGATGTCAGACTCACGAACATATAGAAATATTGATGAAAATGTCGATAGAATTTAATAAAAAATTTATTATTAGTTTTTTTATAAGATAAAGTTTTACTAATATTTTTTTTATTTGACTTGGAAACATTCCAATGGAAAAAGATGGTCAATAAAAGTCCACGGTCAATGTAGATAAAATACAACGAGTCATGCTTCTTACATGGGGTGAATGACGTAATTATACACAATATATATATTATATATATAAAGTAAATGTTCGAGATTCATATTCGAACCTCTAGTCTCTTGGTCAAGGATACACGTGAATTACGGTTGAATTGTATTCATTTTGACAATAATACATACATAAAACTTTACAGTGAAGAAATTACGTTTTGACACGTGATGTCCCACATTGGTTGGGGAGGAGAACAAACAACCAAGTGTGTGGAAACCTTCCCATAGCAGACGTGCTTTAAAGTCTTGAGGGGAGCCCGAAAGGGAAAGCCCAAAGAGGACAATATCTACTAGCGGTGGGCTTGGGTCGTTACACGAGTAGCATGTGACAAGTGGAATTTCGTGGTGCTGTACCAATAACTTACATTTTGACACGAGTAGCATGGGACACATGAAATCTCGTGTGATGTGGAGCTAGGTGAACCGGTGAGTGCTGCAACTGGAAGCACTATTAACTTACGGTTTGATCTGAGTAGCATAGTACATGTGGAATTCCGTATGACGTGAGTGTTGTAATCAGAAGCACCTCTAACTTACATTTTGACACGAGTAGCATGGGACACATGAAATTCCGTGTGATGTGGTGCTAGGTGAACCGGTGAGTGCTGCAACTAGAAGCACTACTAACTTTCGTTTTAACCTGAGTAGCATGGTACACGTGGAATCCTATATGATGTGAGTGCTGTAGTCAGAAGCACCACTAACTTACATTTTGACACGAGTAGCATGAGACACATGGAATCTCGTGTGATGTGGTGCTAGGTGAACCAGTGAGTGCGGCAACTGGAAGCACTACTAACTTAGTACATGTGGAATCTCGTATGACGTGAGTGCTGTAATCAGAAGCACCACCAACTTACATTTTGACCCGAGTAGTATAGAACACGTGGAATCCCGTGTGAATCAGAATACATTGTTACACTAAAAAAATTAATAAAATAGCTGACTTATTTGACTAAAAAAAAGATTATTTATTTTATAAATAATCAAATAAAATTGAAGAATTTTATTTTAAATTATTAATTTCTAGACTTTTTTCAATTTTCTCAAAATAAAGGTCCCTTGTAAGGAAGTAATTTGACCCTTTGACTTATCCAAAATTCCAAAGAAAGTTTCTTCCATTTAATAAGGAAATTTCATAGAATTTTAATTTGATCATTTTTCATAATAATAATAATAATAATTAATTTCATTAATTTTTCATTTTCTATTTAATTAATTTCTAAATAAATTTCTACCCATATTTAAAGATTAATTTATAAAATAAAATATAACTTATTTAAATATATATATATATATATATTCTTTTAAAAATTATAATATTATATTTCATCGCTACGTCAACTTTTTATATTATTCTAACAATTTTTTACTTCAAATATAATTTTAAAATGTTTGTAAAAGACCAATGATAATATTACAAAATTTGAAATTACAGACAAAGTTTATAATTCTTTTGATAAGAAAACAGTTACATATATAACACGTACGAACGAGAATGTGAAAGGGGGCGGAAAAAGTTTTTTTCTTTTTTATGTTGGCTAAACGGGGATCAAAATTATATTATTTGTCCCTGACCGGGTCCCTTTCCCTCCATCCCCTTATGTCTTTCCACCTAATATTATTATTTATTTGTTATAGGTCAAAGTAGAGTCAATACAAAAATATTTAACACGAATAAAATAATCACGTTGATATTGTTCCATAAAGTAGCCTAAAAAATATATTATCAGAAAAAGTTGGGTTAATCCTTTTCTTCTTAAAATTAATAAACAAAAAAATTATATTTATATGATAGATTATATTTTAAATCATATAAATTACGAGATAATTCATATAATTTTTTTAAAACTAATATAGTATCTTAAAAACAAATCAAATTTATATATGTTTTTAATTAATTTCACCCCATAAATAACTTACCATATTAGATTTTTGTTAAAAATCTATAAAATTAAATAAATTACATTTATATAAAAATCAAAATAAGGGTATAAAAGTAATTTCATGTCATAGCTTTCTACCAAAGAATTTGTATACTTTAAACGTACGCCGGTAAAGAATAACCTTAGGCACCAAGATAAATTATAGCCACATGTCTACGAGCGAATAATTGCCTCCTTGTCATAAAAGGAATCACGATGAGTCGACCTGAACAATTTTTTACAAGTCCTTGTAAAGTTATTAGACCGTGCATAAGACTGATCGACCGCCTAAAACCTATCGACATGGTTAAGGATGTTAACGACTTTTTTTTGTTTGGGTATTTTTTGAAATAGAATATCGACGGTTTAGGGCATGAAAAGTAACTCAGGTCATAGTTACAGAAAAACTCGAACGACCTTCTACAAAAGGCCTCCTCGTGAATAGGTCGGTCAGTAGAGAATACCTAAGGGCACAAATTAAATTATAGCCACATGTTTGAGCGAACACGTGCCTACTAATCACAATAACTAGACTCGAACAATTATTTACAGATTGTCGCATAGTCTTTACACCGAGCATAAGATTGACGATCGCTGAGAACCCAACGGCATGGTTAAGAAAGTTGACATCATTTTTTTTGTTGGGATAAGTTCAAATATTCAAACTCGAAATGTATTAGTCAAATTAAACGCATAAAGATGAAAATAATAATAGAATTTTTAGGAAATTTCGACCAAATTTCGAATATTGTACCAAACTATATCACTGTAATAATAATAATAATAATAATAATAATAATAATAATAATAATAATAATAAATTTCCTTAAACATTCGATTAATTTCTCAAACACGCATAATCCAGAAACGATTAGGAAGGAAGCTACAGTGGAAGTTCGTGGTTTAATTTCTTTCCTATAAGAAGGAATTAAATCCATGAGTTTCTTCAATCCAATTCATTTTCTGTTTGTTCATCCTTTGATTTCTTCATCAAAATCATTTTGTTGTTGTGTCCATGGCGTTGAGGTGCAGGAAAAGTGATGAGGTAGTTGAAGTTCTTAATCGTGAAGAACGTCTGGTTATGGCTAAAACTCACAAACGGAGGTGGAAGATGGCCTTTGCCGCCATTTATTTCACTAGAGCTCTCATCTCTCTGACGAGGAAGGTCACTGGCAATAAATCCGGCGCTCTTTTGCGGTCGCTTTCGTTTGTTACTCTTGATGTGCAGGTTAATGATGATAGTACGGATTCTGGCGAGCAGCCGTGCATGGCAGGCTTTTTCGGCGTTGATCAGAAAGTTCTTAGTGAGATGGTGAGGGAGAAGGACTGTGAGTGTTTGAATCGATTTGGAGGCGTTGATGGACTGGCCAATCTTCTTAAAACTAATCCACATGACGGAATTTGTGCAACTGAGGATGATCTTAATTACAGAACAAACGCTTTTGGAACAAATACTTACTCGAAGCGCCACGGCAAAAGCTTCTTTAGGTTCGTGATTGAAGCGTTTAACGATACAACAATAATCATTCTATTGATTTGTGCAGTGCTTTCTTTGGGATTTGGTATCAAACAACACGGTTGGGATGATGGATGGTACGACGGTGGCAGCATTGTCATCGCCATAGTTCTGGTGGTCGTCGTTTCCGCCGCGAGCAACTTCAAGCAATCGCGACAGTTCGAGAAGCTTTCAAACGAGAGAGACGATATAAAAATCGAGGTCACCAGAGCCGGTCGACGCAAATCAGTATCGATATTCGAACTCCTTGTCGGAGACATCGTGTATTTGAAGATCGGAGATCAGATTCCCGCGGACGGAGTGTTCCTCGATGGACATTCGCTGAAGATCGACGAATCGAGCATGACTGGAGAGAGCGAACACGCTGAAGTAAATCACGAAATTAATCCGTTTCTGCTATCAGGAACCAAAGTGAACGATGGATTTGGTGTGATGATGGTGACTTCTGTGGGAATGAACACAGCCTGGGGAGAAATGATGAGTTCAATTAGAAGGGAAATTAATGAGGAAACTCCACTGCAAGCTCGTCTGAACAAGATGACCGCCATTATCGGGAAGCTAGGACTGACGGTCGCAGTGGTGGTGCTTCTTGTTCTTCTGGCTCGCTATTTCACTGGTAGCACCGGCGAGTTCAATGGAAGCAAGACGAGGTTCGATGATGTTATGAATGCAGTTCTTGGCATGGTTGCGGCGGCTGTTACAATCGTTGTGGTGGCGATTCCGGAAGGTTTGCCTCTAGCTGTTACTTTAACTTTAGCTTACTCCATGAAAAAGATGATGGCGGATAATGCAATGGTTCGGAAACTCTCTGCTTGTGAGACCATGGGCTCAGCAACCACAATTTGTACTGATAAAACTGGTACCCTTACTTTGAATCAGATGAAAGTTACAGAGTTTTGGATTGGGGAAGATAAAATTATGAACACAGATTATTCCAATTCAAGGATTAGCAGTAAGGTTGTTGAATTACTGCACCAAGCAGTTGGATTGAACACAACTGGTAGTATTCAAACACCAGCTTCTTCATTGCCTCTAGAAATCTTCGGGAGTCCGACCGAGAAAGCGATACTTTCGTGGGCGGTATTCGACCTGGATTTGAACTTGGATGAACTGAAGAAACAACATGAGATGATCCTGGTAGAGACTTTCAGTTCAGAGAAGAAGAGAAGCGGAGTTTTGACACGACGACACGGGACAAGGCTTGTTAATACACACTGGAAAGGAGCAGCAGAGATGATATTGGCTATGTGTTCATATTACTATGAGAAACAAGGAACAGCTAGAGCCATTGATGGTGAAATGAGAAGACAATTGACTGAAATAATCACAGCCATGGCAGAAAAAAGTCTCCGATGCATAGCCTTTGCTCACAAGTCGAATGAAGACGACGATATCCAAGACATTCCTGTGAAACTCGACGAATCGGAGTTGACATTACTGGGAATAGTTGGTTTGAAAGATCCTTGCAGGCCAGGAGTTAGAGAAGCTGTGGAATCATGTAGAGCTGCTGGAGTGAGTATCAAAATGGTGACAGGTGATAATCTGCACACAGCAACAGCCATAGCAATTGAATGTGGAATACTAAATCCCGACGACGACGCTACTAACAGCGAAGTAATTGTCGAGGGCGTAAAATTTAGAAACTACACACCTGAGGAGAGGCTCGAAAAGATTGGGACCATCCGAGTGATGGCTAGATCTTCCCCATTTGACAAGCTTCTAATGGTACAATGCTTGAAGAATCAAGGCCATGTAGTGGCAGTCACCGGGGATGGAACAAATGACGCCCCAGCTCTTCACGAGGCTGACATTGGCCTTTCCATGGGAATTCAAGGAACAGAAGTGGCAAAGGAGAGCTCCGACATCGTCATCTTAGACGATAACTTTACGTCGGTCGTCACCGTCTTGAAATGGGGAAGATGTGTTTACAACAACATTCAAAAGTTCATTCAATTTCAGCTCACTGTGAACATTGCAGCATTAGTCATCAATTTCATCGCCGCTGTCTCGTCCGGTAAAGTCCCGCTAACAGCGGTACAGCTACTATGGGTGAATCTCATCATGGACACCATGGGAGCTTTAGCCTTAGCTACTGAGCTACCCACCAATGATCTCATGATGAAAACGCCGGTCGGTCGATCCGATCCATTAGTAACGAAGATCATGTGGAGGAATCTCATAACTCAGGCTGTGTATCAAGTGGCAGTCTTGCTGGTTTTGGAATTTAAAGGAAGTTCCATCTTCAATGTCAATGAGAAGGTTAAGAGCACACTGATCTTCAACACTTTTGTTCTATGCCAAATCTTCAACGAGTTCAATGCAAGGAAGCTGGAGAAGAAGAACATATTTGAAGGGCTACACAAAAGCAAGCTGTTTTTGGCAATAATTGTGATAACCTTAGCTTTTCAAGTGGTAATGGTTGAGGTTTTGGGAAGGTTTGCCAATACATCGAGGTTGAATTGGGGCCAGTGGGGGGCATGTCTTGGCGTAGCAGCTTTGACTTGGCCAATTGGATGGCTCTCCAAGTTGATACCAGTTTCAGCCCTGCAGTTTCCATGGGGAAGAAACTCAGCACAATAAAGCTTCCATCAACACAATCAGGTCCAGTAAAAATTATGTCAATTTGTTTTCTCTAGTAGAATTAACCCTAACTTAGCAATATCTTTAATCAATATAGCAAAAATGTCATTTGGTTTATGAGTTTATAATTGATAAAAGTTAATAAAACATAGGCTCGACTTCTTAACTTCGAGTTGCACGAGCCTAGCTTAGAAGTCATCCGTCTAGCTACTTCAAAGCAAATGAATATAAGACTATACTTTAAGAACTTATCTAGCCAGTTGAATTATGCCATAAAAATGATCCCATGAATTAGAATCTTTCACCTTAGAGATTTGAATCTTCGCCTAATCTGCCAAAACTCAGAACATCATTGGGAAAAAAACAAGTTTTTATTAATCGAATCTCTATAAAAGAAATCTGATAAGCAAGAGAGGAAAAAGGGTGGATCGAAGAACTGGGTGTGATGAATCTGTGCTCATTTTGATCATGTTGAATGAAAATTAAATTAAAGGAAAATAAAAATAAAATAAAAGAAAATGAAAGAAATGGGGCCGAGGGCTGACCTTTGATGGAGACGAGACCCAGTCCTCTGGTTATTCCGATTTTTCTTTTTTGCTTCAGTGATAGAGAAAGGAACAAAAAATAATGCCTAGAAACCCGTCTTTTTGTTGTTGTCAATTGATTAAACAAATGTACAAACTGTGTCCACACGTGTGATGAGGACTATTCCTATTTTTCAATGCCTACAAACCTAGTCTTTTTCTGTTGTCAATTGATTAAACAAATGTACAAATTGTGTCCACACGTGTGATGAGATTGATGGTCGAGATATTCTTAAATTAGCGTCTAAATTGTTTATTAATAGTTTACGACTTTAATTAATATAATAATAAATTACGATGTATATAAGTTACAAACAATTTTCATAATAATGTAGGATATAGTTGGTAGGGTATTATTATAACTATTTTTTTTTTGGGTTGGACTGGTTGGCCCTGAAACGCCTTGGTAGCACTTTTTTAGTGCTTATTTATGCAGACTTCTGAAACTGGCTGACGGGTTGAGTATCCAAATACCGAAGTGAAACTGGGAAATCAAGGAATCGAGGTAAGTCCCCATTTAAATTTTCCCGTTTCCATTATAAATTTTGTCGTAGAAACTGTTTTTGATCGGTGGAAATGGAAGCATTATCCTTCAAAATCTCTCCTCATAGTCCCGTACGTTGACTTCAAGAATAAACAGTCTGCTAATCTTATCAACTGCTAGGTTTTTCTTACTCAGATCTTGAAAATGGTTGAGAGAATTTAGTAATTGGAAGGGAAACAAAAATCCCTTCTAGTGGGGTTAACACATTTCGCTGCTTCATTGAGACCGTTTGATAACCCTTTAGTACGTACTAAATACTAAAAATCCCTTCTATATGTTCCGATTTGAAGTGAAAGACTGTGATGCCAATGATGAATAAATATATATTATACTTTCAATTTGAAGTGTAGACTGTGATGTAAGCAATGATGAATGTCATTTTGTTGATTCCCCACGTGATATTCCCTCTACTCTTGGTCCTATATATTGAGGATTGGTTCAACAGACTACTAAAAGAATTCACTAACTTTCTGCTCACAAGATTTAGAGCGAAAATAATGGCAGAGGGGCAAGGAGTTCAGATTCCCAGAGTGCAACTTGGAAGCCAGGGACTTGAGGTAAAACTCATATGCTTTTAGCTGAATGTGAGATCACATGTCGGTTGAAGAGGGGAATGAAGTATTCTTTATAAGGGTGTAGAAACCTCTTCCTAGATTTTAAAACCTTGATGGGAAGTCCGAAAGGGAAAGCCCAAAAAGGACAATATTTGCTAGCGGTGGGCTTGGGCTTGGGCTGTTACAAATGGTATCAGAGCCAGACACCGGGCGGTGTGCCAGCGAGAACGCTGGACTCCCTAGAGCGTAGATTGTGAGATCCCACATCGATTGGAGAAGGGAACGAAGTATTGCTTATAAGGGTGTGGAAACCCCGCCCTAGTAGACACGTTTTAAAATCTTGAGGGGAAGCCCAGGAAAAATTTAAATAGAACAATATCTGCTAGAAGTAGTAGACCCATGGTGGGTCAGCAAACCGGGCCTACGGTTCTAATGATTCTGTAGATACAGAAAGAGCTTCACTAATTGCTCGGTTTTCTATTTCTTTTTTCAGAAAATTGATATTAAAACGTTAACTTTAGGCTTTGTGAATTAAGGACTCATATGATTCTCCTTCCTCGACTTTGGTTCTCTCTCTTGGTTTTCAATAACACAGAAACTTGCTTGGTCAGGTTTTCCTTTTATTTGAATTCGTAGAGTAGGCAGAGACCTAACTATACGATCGGAGTTTAGACACGTAAACCATGGGTCCCCCGAATATCCATCATCAACCAACCCCCTTTCCTGGCTAAGAAGTAGAGAAGGACCTAAGAACTAAATAAACAAAGCCGTAAAAGTTTCGTGACTAAATTTATAAATTTACGGAAGTTATAGCACAAGAACAAAGATGGGAAATCTTTCATAAACGTATTATTTTGAGCTATCTTCTACCTGCTGCATACAAATTCCCATACAGATACTTTCTTTTCTTTTCGGGACTTGTTCTTGTCTTTTTTTGGTACTAGGCACAACCAAGATAAAAAATTTGGAGCAGAACATCGGTTCCTTGACAGTGAAGCTCGACAGAGACGACCTGAACGAGATTTCCGAGGCAGTACCCGAAAGCGAGGTAGCTGGAAATGGAAATTATGATAGCTTGATGTATGCAACATGGAAATATGCTAACACACCTCCAAAAATGAATGACATCTGAACATGAGACATTCAAAGGTTTGCATACACCTTAATGATGGTTCTACAAGATTTGGACAATAGGAGTTCAACTTATTTTACCATCATTTTCAATAAATGTATGAAGAGTTCTATAAATGATGTTGTTTATCAGGGATAGATGTACTGTGAACATTGATAACAGGTTACCAAGTAATGTTTTGAGATAGCTCCCAAGATCTTCGGTTCATGCTTGTAGGTAGAAAACTTGAAAGGGCTTCACTTAAGGGGTTACCAAGTAATCGGTTCACCCATGTGGTTGCCGAGTAATATTTTGAGATAGCTCTCAAGACCTTCGGTTCATGCTTGTAGGTAGAAAGCTTGAAGGAGCTTCACTTAAGAGGTTACTGAGTAATCGGTTCACCCAAGAGGTTACCGAGTAATGTTTTGAGATAGCTCCCAAGATTAGTTCACACTCGTAGGTAGAAAACTTGAAAGGGTTTCACTTAAGGGGTTACTGAGTAATTGGTTCACCCAAGAAGTTACTGAGTAATGTTTTGAGATAGCTCCCAAGATCTTCAGTTCACACTCGTAGGTAGAAAACTTGAAAGGGTTTCACTTAAGAGGTTACCGAGTCATTGGTTCACCCAAGAGGTTACCGAGTAATGTTTCAAGATAGCTCCCAAGATTTTCAGTTTGCTCTTGTAGGTAGAAAACTTGAAAGGGCTTCACTTAAGGGGTTACCCAGTAATCGGTTCACCCATAAGGTTGCCGAGTAATATTTTGAGATAGCTCCCAAGATCTTCGGTTCACGCTCGTAGGTATAAAACTTGAAAGGGCTTCTCTTAAGGGGTTACCGAGTAATTGGTTCACCTAAGAGGAACCGAGTAATGTTTTGAGATAGCTCCCAAGATCTTCAATTCACACTCATAGGTAGAAAACTTGAAAGGGGTTCGCTTAAGGGGTTATCGTGTAATCAGTTCACCCAAGAGGTTACCGAGTAATTGGTATACTCATAGGCTAACACCAAAGTTTGAAATCAAGTAAAAATTATGTCATTTTGTTTTGTCCAGTAGAATTAACATAACTTAGCAATATCTTTAATCAATATAGCAAAAATGTCATTTGGTTTATGAGTTTAATTGGTAAAAATTAATATAGCTCGTGTTTATATAGCTTGGATTTAGGCAACTTAGAGTTAACAACCCTAACTAAATCATAGGCCGACTTCTTACTTTGAGTTGCACAAGCCTAGCTTAGAAGTCATCCGTCTAGCTACTTCAAAGCAAATGAATATAAGACTGCACTTTAAGGGACTTATCTAGTCGAGAATATATGTCTTGACCAGTTGATCTAAACTTTAAAGACCCACGAATTAACTCGAGAATAGCTCGATTGAAAAAGTAATATATGTATTTCGACTTAGAGATTTGAATCTTCGCCTAATCTGCCAAAACTCAAAACATTATTGGGAAACAAACTAAGTTTTGATTAATCGAATCTCTATAAAGGAAATCTGATAAGCAAGAGAGGAAAAAGGGTGGATCGAAGAACTGGGTGTGATGAATCTGTGCTCATTTTGATCATATTGAATGAAAATAAAATTAAAGAAAATAAAAGAAATGGGGCCGAGGGCTGACCTTTGATGGAGACGAGACACAGTCCTCTGGTTATTCCGATTTTTCTTTTTTGCTTCAGTGATAGAGAAAGGAACAAAAAATAATGCCTAGAAACCTGTCTTTTTTTAGTTGTCAGTCGATTAAACAAATGTACAAATTGTGTCCACACGTGTGATGAGATTGATGGTCGAGATATTCTTAAATTAGTGTCTAAATTGTTTATTAATAGCTTACAAGTTTAATTAATATAATGATAAGTTACAATGTATCATTAATATAAAAAAATTTCTTAATTTTTGGGACAGGTTGGCAGCATTTTTTAGTGCGCAGACTTCTGAAACTGGCTGATGGGTTGAGTATCCAAATACCGAAGTGAAACTGGGAAATCAAGGAATCAAGGTAAGTCCCCATTTTAATTTTCCCGTTTCCATTACAAATTTTGTCGTAGAAACTGTTCTTGATCGGTGGAAATGGAAGCATTTTAGTCCCTTAGGTTGACTTCTACAGCTAAACAGTCTGTGCTAATCTTATCAACTGCTAGGTTTTTGCTTACTCAGATCTTGAAAATGGTTGAGAGAATTTAGTAATTGGAAGGAAAACAAAAATCCCTTCTAGTGGGGTTAACCCTTTAGTACCTACTAAATATTATATATGTTCCAATTTGAAGTGAAAGACTGTGATGTAAGCAATGATGAATAAGATGTCCAATAAATATATATATATATAAGATCCCACGTTGGTTGGGAGGAAAATGAAACCTTTTCCTACTAGACGCATTTTAAAAACTTTAATGGAAAGCCCGGAAGGGAAAGTCCAAAGAGGACAATATTTGTTAGCAGTGGACCTGGGGCGTTACAAATGGTATTAGAGCCAGACACTGGATGATGTGCCAGCAAGGATGCTGAGACCCCGAAGGGGGTGGATTTGGTGGGGTCCACATCGATTGGATGTGCCAGCAGGAAGGCTGAGCCCTGAAAGAGGTGGACATCAGGCAATGTGCTAGTAAGGATGATGGCCCTGAAGGAGGGTGGATTGTAAGATCCCACATCGGTTGGTGAGGAGAACGAAACACCTTTTATAAGGGTGTGAGAACCTTTCCCTAGTAGACACGTTTTAAAAACTTTGAGGGGAAGTCCGAAAGGGAAAGCCCAACAACATTTGCTAGCAATGGATCTGGGCCGTTACAATATAATATTATATTTTTAATTTGAAGTGATAAGACTGTGATGTAAGCAATGATGAATGTCATTTTGTTGATTCCCCACGTGATATTCCCTCTACATTTTGGTCCTAAATATATATATATATATTTGAGGATTGGTTCATCAGACTACTAAAAGAATTCACTAACTTTCTGCTCACAAGAGTTAGAGTGACAAGAATGGCAGAGGGGCAAGGAGTTCAGATTCCCAGAGTGCAACTTGGAAGTCAGGGACTTGAGGTAAAAGTCATTGAATGTTCATTCTCAAGTTTAATGAGAAAAGTTCATGAACAAAAGCTTTATTTTCTCATATTTTTATGAACTTCAGGTCTCAAAATTGGGATTTGGATGTATGGGCTTGACTGGAATCTACAATTCTTCTCTATCTGATGAAGAAGGCATCTCAATACTAAAGGAAGCTTTCAATAAGGGAATCACTTTTTTCGATACAGCCGATGCATATGGACCCCATTCTAACGAAACCCTGATCGGAAAGGTACTCAGCTCTGCTTTTGAATGATGGTTCCACAGCCAATATAAGCACATAATAAACAGGTCTTTCTCTTCACTATTTCCCCCTTTCCAGGCCTTGAAACAGTTACCAAGAGAAAAAGTTCAGATAGCCACAAAGTTTGGGGTTACAAGGGTTGGACATTCTATGACAGTGAAGGGAACCCCAGAGTATGTGCGGGCATGTTGTGAGGCTAGCTTGAAACGCCTTGACATAGACTACATTGATCTCTATTATCAACATCGTACTGATACATCTACACCTATAGAAGAAACTGTAAATAGCCCTTGCTCATTTCCCCACTTTGTTGTTATGTAGATTGGTTTTGAGATATATGTTCTTGATTTGTAGATGGGTGAGCTGAAAAAACTGGTGCAAGAGGGAAAGATTAAGTATATAGGTTTATCTGAAGCCAATCCACAGACAATAAGGAGAGCACATGCAGTTCATCCTATTACGGCTCTACAAATGGAGTGGTCGATCTGGACACGTGACATTGAGGACGAGATTGTTCCTCTCTGCAGGTATATGATAGACCCTTAATGTATTGAAATATAATGGATAATTGAACTGTAAGATAAACCAAGTGTTTTGAGGTACTTGAACCCTCCCTTGAACCAACTGAATCAATGCTTATGTAATAGCCCAAGCTCACTGCGAGTAGATATTGTTTTTTTTGGACTTTTTCTTTCGAGCTTTCTCTCAAGATTTTAAAATGCGTCTGCTAGGAAGAGGTTTCCACACCCTTATAAAGAGTGTTTTGCTCACCTCTCCAACTGATGTGGGATCTCACAATCCACCTCCCCTGAGCGTCCTTGCTGACACTCGTCCCCTTCTCCAATCGATGTGGGACTCTCTAATTCACCCCTCTTTGGGCCTAGCATCCTTGTTGGCACCCTGCCTCATGTCCACCCCCTTCAGGGCTCAACTTCCTCGCTGACACTTCGCCTGGTGTCTGGCTCTGATACCATTTGTAACAGCTCAAGTCCACCGCCAGTAGATATTGTCCTCTTTGAGCATTCCCTTTCGGTCTTCCCCTCAAGGTTTTTAAAACGTGTCTACTAGTGTGAGGTTTCCAAACTTTTATAAAGAGTATTTTGTTCCCCTCCAACAACGTGGAATCTCACAATTTGACTTTTGGTTTTTAGTTTTTGAAAATTATGCTTACAAATACTATTTCTACGTCCTATCTATGAGTTTGTTTGTTTTTCTATCTACTTTTTACCTATGTTATCAAAATCCAAGCTAAGTTTGAAGATTAAAAACGAAGAATTTTGATGAGAAACAAGTTTAAATTTCAAAAATAAAGAACAAAAGCGAAAAAATCAAATAGTTATCGAATAAGACCTAAATGATTAGCTTTTGCCAACAGCTTGTTTTTCTCCTTTTTATGCTGCTGTCATATTTTTTCTTTGCTAAATAAGAGGACATTGCCATGTGATTGTTTTGTAGAGATCTAGGGATAGGTATTGTTCCTTACAGCCCTCTCGGTCGAGGCTTCTTTGCCGGTAAAGCCGTTGTGGAAAGTTTGCCTACTGAGAGCCAATTGGTATCTATTTTGCACTATTTCTGTCTCAGTTAGAGTTTAATAATGCTTTGATTAGGACATTTCTTTTTTTTTTTTTGAGACGATGGTGTCTGAAGTAAATTTCAAAACTAGTGTCTAATCTCTTCTTTTCTTAGAGCTTACATCCTCGATTCATCGAAGAAAACTTGGAGAAGAACAAGTGCTTTTACACACGAATAGAGAAGCTTGCTGAAAAGCACCATTGCTCTCCTGCTCAACTTTCTCTTGCATGGGTTCTTCAACAAGGAGATGACGTTGTTCCAATTCCAGGTGATCCTCATACTGATAACCATCTTCTACTAACTTAGTCTCATTCCTATCTAAATATTAGTTGATTTGCTTAGAAATGGTAGATATGTGGTGGGTCAACAGGCCGGACCTACAGTTCTAATGATTCCGTAGATACAGAAAGAGCTTCACTGGTTGCTCGGCTTTCTATTTCATTTTTCAGAAAATCGATATTAAAACGTCAACTTTAGGCTTTGTGAATTAAGGAGGACTCGTATGATTCTCCTTCCTTGACTTCGGTTCTCTCTCCTAGTTTTCAATAACATAGAAACTTGCTTAGTCAGGTCTTCCTTCCTTTTATGTGAATTTGTAGCTTTTATGTGAATTTATAGAGTAGGCAAAGACCCAACAATACGATCGGAGTTTAAACACGTAAACCATGACTAAGAAATAGAGAAGGGCCTAAGAACTAAATAAACAAAACCGCAAAAGTTTCCTGACTAAATTTATAATTTTACTGACCAGAACAAAGATGAAAAATCTTTCATAAACCTATCACTTTCCCGTACAGATACTTTCTTTTCGTTTCAGGACTTGTTCTCGTCTTTTTTGTTACTAGGCACAACCAAGATAAAGAATTTGGAGCACAACATTGGTTCCTTGACGGTGAAGCTCGACAAAGACGACCTGAATGAGATTTCCGAGGCAGTACCCGAAAGCGAGGTAGCTGGAAATAGAAGTTATGATAGCATGATTCATGCAACATGGAAATATGCTAACTCACCTCCACTAGTGAATGACATCTGAACCTGAGACATTCAAAGGTTTGCATACACCTTAATGATGGTTCTACAAGATTTGGACAATAGGAATTCAACTTATTTTTCCATCGTCTTCAATAAATGTATGAATGCGTTCTATAAATGATGTTGTTTATCAGGGAGGGATAGATGTACTGTGAACATTGGTAACAGGTTACCGAGTAATGTTTTGAGATAGCTCTCAAGATCTTCGGTTCATGCTCGTAGGTAGAAAACTTGAAAGGGCTTCACTTGAGGGGTTACCAAGTAATCGGTTCACCAAAGTGATTACTAAGTAATGTTTTGAGATAGCTCCCAAGATATTTGGTTCACGTTCGTAGGTAGAAACCTTGAAAGGACTTCACTTAAGGGGTTACCGAGTAATAGTAATCACTTCACCCAATAGGTTACCGAGTAATTGTTTTGAGACAGCTCCCAAGATCTTCTGTTCAAAAAATCACTCAGAATATGTTTAATAATATATTTAAAAGATAATATAATTATAATATGTAATGGTACGTCTGATTTAATTTTGACGAAAATGAAATGAGTTTATAGCATAAAATAATGTTTATATATTTTTAAAAAATATTCTTTTAGTGTAATTATATATTTGATGGATACATATTTTCATAAATTTCTACTATTTAAATTACATCATTTTAAAATATTTTTTCAAAAATAAATTTGTAAAATACATAATCTCCAAAATAGGGCGTTTGAGGCTACTAATTTCAATGTTGCCATTCATTCCTTATTTTAAATTAAGATTTCTTTATAAATTATAATAAACAAAATCTACATACATATATATATATATATATATATATATATAAATTTATCAAAGTTGAAGGTCACGAGCGCAACTCTAACAATTAAGACACGTTTTTTTTCTTTATTTTTAAAATTAGAGTTTCTGTAATAGCCCAAACTCACCACTAACCAATATTGTTCGCTTTGACTCGTTCTGTATCGCCGTCAGTCTCACAGTTCGTTCCCCTCTCTAATCGATGTGAGATCTTACAATTCACCCCCTTGGGAGAGTGCCCAGACTCTAATATCATTTGTAATAGTCCAAGTCACTGCTAATAGATATTGTTTGCTCTGACCCGTTACGTATAACTGTCGGCTCAAAATTTTAAAACGAGTCTGTTAGGAGAGGTTTCCATACTCTTATAAAAAATTTACAATCCACCCCCTTGGGAGAGTGCCCAGACTCTAATATCATTTGTAACAGTTCCAAGCCACTACTAATAGATATTGTTTGCTCTAACCCGTTACGTATCACTGTCGGCTCACTATTGGCTCACTATTTTAAAACGAGTTTGTTAGAGAAAGGTTTCCACACTCTTATAAAAAAAAATATTTATTCTCTCATAATACAAATTAATACTTAAATTTTTTGAAACGGAAGTTTGCATTTAAATTGATATTGTTTATTATGATTATTATTATTATTATAGTATTGAAAATATAATTTTGAGGGAATTACGGTTTTGCCAACTGTTTATTTATTTAAGCCATTAAAGAATCCCGCCGAGGTTATTTCTGTTTCCGTCGGTTACAGCTTACGGCGAGGGAAACCCGGGAAGGAAGGTATCAAAACCAAAGTCATTTGTGTTTTCACTGTTGTTTCTGAAGTGAAGAGATTCGATGAAAACGATGCGATTCATGACTGTATATACTGGAGAAGTTTCAGTTGTTGTGATCGACTAGTGAAGAAGACAGCGTATCAGAAGGAGGAAAATCAACTTAGCGTGGAAAGAACTCTTACGGAGTTGCTGGAATCCGATCAGAAGGTTTGTTGTTTAGTAATTCGATCAATTTTTGTGTGAAGATGATTCAGTGATTCAGTTCAGCGTTATTGATCTTCGTTTTTCGTGTTGGAGAATGTTTGCTGTTATTTTCTGATTTTGGGACTGAATTTAGGAGGAGGAGATAGCGTCTGTGTCGAAGAAGCTAGTTATGGATGATAGTGCGGAGAAGTTTGTGAGGAGGATAAACGGCTATATTGATCAAGTTCGCTTGGTATTTGCTTTCTTTTTTTCTTTTCTTTTTCCGTTTAAGCTGTGTTTTTAATTTGATTTTCCTTTGTACGTTTGGCATGAGAAACAATCGACATTGAGGATTTTTGTGGTTAAGTTGATAACTGATGATGTTTGTGAATAATTATGTGTAGGTTTATCCATTTTTTGTATTGTCCGTGCCAGAATTGTTTGCTCTTTACACTTTTGACCACCTGAATATTTGTTGCAGTATGAGGATCCAATAAGGCAAGAGTCTGCAAGGAAAACTGTTCCTGTGGAAGAGCTTCAAGAGAAAGCACTTGTCTCCCTGGCCAAGGTATCACTTAATTTGATGCCATTTCTTTTGCTTGTTTGTTTGTTTAATTCTTTTTTCTTGATATGTCGTACGATTTTACGGGCAATTTGTTGAAACCATTCTCCCTGCTTACTAGTAAACCGCTCCATTATGATTATGAATATAGTAATGCCTATGATTGGAGACAAGGGAGTGGATGCTTGTCGTGTCCCAGCCAAATCTATCTGTTCCAAACTTATTGGCACAATTTTATTCTTTTTATTCTGAATTTCAGTATCTTGGATATCTTAACTTAGTCAGTTGCATATGGTAAGACATAGATACCAAAATATTCTGGCATTTTATTGTTAAAGCATTCTAATTGCATATATATTTTTTTAATTAAATCTAATTGATTTTTGTGGCTTTGCAACTTTCCACGGACTCTGTTGCAATTCTTATTGTTTTTAATTAATGACTTTATTTTTCAAAGTTTGGTTGCCCTAGCTTAATAGGTTTAGGCATCTTCATATGAAAAAGCTTGTGAATGCTTGACAATTAGTCATTTTGGTGAGCCTGTTGTAGGAGGGAAAGTACGAACCATCCAAATTGGAACAAGACCATGCCTTTTTGTTGCAGCTTCTTTTCTGGTTTAAACAATTATTCAGGTACTTGCTTTGGACGACTGTATTGGATGGATTATTAAACTGCAATTACTTTGAGAGTCAAGTTGTAATCCTTGGTCAATATGCTTCTATGGTTCTTTATGGATGTAACCGGAATCATGTGATGCACTAACATCATTGGTTTATGAAACTTCTGATTTAATTTATTACTTTTAAAGGTGGGTTAATGCACCTTCTTGTGAACATTGTGGAGATGCAACAACATTTCAAGATATGGGCGATCCACTTCCTTCAGAACTTCAGTTTGGCGCTAACCGAGTTGAAGTATATGGGTATGTGGAATGCTTTTGGTTAGGCTTATGCTTCTGGATTCATCATTCTATATTGCTAGATTTCTTCTCTGTTTTATTACACAGTTATGATTATGTAAACTATATTCTTTGCCAACCTATGAAGAAAACTGGGCCTAATGAATTGTTTTCTTTTTTCCTGCTACTTAACAATTTCTCTGCCCCTATGCCCATGATCTTATTGAGTGGTGTGCTAATTAACATCATGTTAATCTTTGATGATGACTAATAATTTTTCACATTAAAATAAATAGTCATGAAGATGAATATGCTGTATTTTATTTTCATATCCTTCTTTAAATAGGTTAGTACTGCAGGTTGCAATTATCCTGCTTATGCTACTTTTGGGTTAAAAGTTCAATAACTAATTGATTAACTAAGGCTGTTTACAAGCGTTAATATACTTGGTCTCTATATTTCTTGTTCATTTCAAATTTTCTTACAGTCTTCAAGGATAACTTTTCTTCTCATCTTTTGTGGCTCTGTGCGATTCACGGCCTCCTCTTGGAGTGCAGTTTCCAATTGTTTTTCTGTAACAACACATTTTTTATAAATGTTGGTTGAAAGGAATTTTTGTATTAGTTGGTTGTGTCAGGGGGTTCTCTACTGGCGATCCTAGGTGTTCTTTTCCATGTATTATATAAATCCTATCCATTTATCGAGAGGTGGAGACCTATAGATTCCAATCTTTTGGTGAGCCACTCTCCAAGAGCTCCCAACAATAGAAGCTTCTCTGTTTTTACCTTTTCCTTGCAAATCTTTTTACCTTGCATGAGAACTTTTCTCATTCAAGCTCTCTCCAACGAGTTTCATTAAGCCTTACTTAGGGGTTGTGCCTTGCAAGTCTATTAAGAGCGAGTTGATCTTTTAGAATAATTAAAAATGCTTTAACTAATGAAAATCACTTTTTGCTTGTACATTGCCAACAGTGCATTCGAAAATTCTAACATTTAAATTGCTTATAGGTTCAACATTTAACTAGTGTTGTTTCCAAAAGTGTTATACTACAAGTACTCTTAATAGTTATCCCAAACTCACTCTAATTGTCACGTTGGCAATATCTTCAAGAGCCACTCCGGTGGTAGGGAGCTTTATTATCTATTCTATTATAGCCAAGATGAAACCAGGATAATTTCCCTTCACTTTGACCCATGCCTTTTTGGATAAAGTTTATTTACACAAACTAAGCATTTTTTACGATTTTGAAGGTTTAGGTTTTGCCTGGCTCCCATTATCAAGAAAATTTTCCTACTTTTTCCATCTCTTCGAGTAGTGGTCATCTTCAAATCATCTTTTCTGCATTATTATCAATCGTCATTTATGATCGTCTCTTTTTTATTTCAGTTCTTCCCAATCCACATCAAATAGTTGTCACTGATATGTTTCCAAAAAGATCTGATTGTCAGGAAGGAAGTTTTCTAAAACATTCACAAAGCAAAATAGTCCTTAGAAAGGGTATGTTATTACTCTTGTCACCCATAGACAACCAAAACAAAATTAAAGAAGCACCATGTCAATCTTCCACAGTGAACAAACCTAACTAAAAGAAAAGAAACACCTAATGGCTACCAGAACAATGCAGGAATGATAAGAAGGAACTTGTACAGAATTATATGCTGAGCTAAACAAGCAAATATATTATGTGCTTGTGTTCTCACTCTCTAAATTAAAGGTCACTTTGTTAATGTTATCTTTTTTGAATGGCCTTTATATATAATATGGAAGAAACGACTGGCTGAATTGAGGACCATTTCCAATTTTGTTCAACTTTTTGATAGTGGTAAATAATAGGCATAGAGGTTCAGTTTCAGTTTCAGGCTTTAGGTGAGTTGGTGAATGATAGAATTACCTCACGTATTTGATGTTCTTTTTTCCTTGTTCCCTTCTCGTCTAATCTTCATTTTTTGTCTACTCTCTCTTTTCTTTCTCCTTTTTACACCTCCAGCTGTAACTCATGCCAAATGGTTACACGTTTCCCACGCTTCAATGATCCAATAAAGGTATTCAACTTTATTTATCCCATCAAGAAGTCCCTATATAATTATATATGTTTTAGTTTCACTCTCTCTTGCATGCAGCTTATTGAAACAAGGAGGGGACGCTGTGGAGAATGGGCCAATTGCTTTACGTTCTACTGTCGTGTTTTTGGCTATGAATCTCGATTTGTGAGTGGTCTCATGATTTATTCCTTTTCTTGTTAAATGATGTTGAGAAGGCTTCTATTGTTTTGATTAATTGAAGTCTGGCAATGACGAACTTCTATGCTTCAAATAAATAAGAATCGAATGCTAAATAACTGATGTTTTTCCAACTAGGTAAGAATCCTTATGCTGGTGCCCGAAGAATCTTGAAGTTTTAACTGTTTTCTATTAAGCTCCTCCACTATAATAATTCAATCTTGGTTAGAATCATTACTATATTAAAAGATAGGGGGTTGGAGAATCATTTTTGGACAATGTTATCTCAACTTCTCAATTGATAGTTTCAATAATGTGATTAATGTAATTTTTCAAATTTAGTTAATTAATTATAAATTTATGTTGTTGTAAAAAATCTATTAAATTAGTGAGAAGTTAACCTTCACACATGCAAGTTGTGAGAAGAATTAACTATTTTGCTAAAAACAAACAAATTGATAATTTTTTTTTTTACTAAATTAGTGAAAAGTTACCAAGTATGACTACTGTCTTTAGGAGTATAGAAGGAACCCTTGTACAATTAGAAAATCCAAACTCTAAAAAGGTTACAGACGTCTCTAGTAGAAGTTACAACATAAGGAAAATTACAAAAATGATCTCCAACTATGCAAGATATTCTATAAAATAAAAGTTGCAAATAGTTGATGAAGAACATCAAGAGAGTGTCTTATGTTTAGCTAATCAACTCTCTCATCCCACTGTTTATCAGATGCCTTCAATTTCTTTCAAACCATATTTCTTGAAACATTTCTGTTCACCCCACAAAGAAGTTGAGTATTGTGCTTGACATCACTATCCATCACCCAAGCATAATGAATTATCCAGTATTTTAATTTACTTCTTTTAAGAAGAAACTGTAATATGATATAAATTTGGCTCTTGTGTACTAATTTTTGTTCCATCTCCAGATTCTTGATCTTACAGATCACGTTTGGACTGAATGCTTCTCTCATCTTTTAGGGAGGTTAGTTTAATTTATAGATCTACTGTTCTTAAAAAAAAAAAAAAAAAAAAAAAAAAA